AATCAAGCTCGGAAAGCAGATAACAACATTCTTTCTACGAGTTCTTCAAAGATTTACATTCATCCTTTTATTAATTATCTAGCTTTCTCTTTTTTTCTACTATCTCGTTTTGAGAAAAATGGTTTAGCAAAGGAGCTTACATCATATGAGTCACTAATAGTTTTTATACGGCTGATTTTAAAACCATTTAGCTTTGTTCGCGTATTCTTCGTTTAGAGTTAACAGAAGTAAATTTGAATTCTGAAGAAACCGTTTTTACTTCATGAAATCTTATTTTATTTTAATCTTATCTTATTTTAATTGCTTATTTCATGAAATTCATTAAAAGTTATAGAAATATTTTAAAATAATAAATAATACGTTATTTATAGATATATATTTATATTAGCAAGCAAAACTTTTCTCATGAATCATATGATGTGATCATGTATCATCATCATGAATCATAATTATACTTGGTGTATCACTAATTTTTTTTTTTTTTTTTAATAGTTTTAATAAACTAGTGACAATCGTATTAATGCAATATAAGAGATATGTTTGAAGGAAATTGTGCTTTATCAACTACATTTAAAAATATAGTTATTATGTATTTAAAAAGATTTTCTATTACAAAATAAAACTTTAGATTTTTGAAATATATATATACAAACTTAATTAAATGATTTAATTGATCAAGTAATTACAGAAACATTTCTGTATATCGTATCTCATATTTTATTTTTACAGCATAAAATTTAACATAAAATCATAAATTATTCAATTTAAAATATTATATTTACATTATTATATGTATAAGTTAAGAAGACTAAAAGTTAAAAATTGTGAAACCATTTATATAGTCTATCAGGTAGTATTTTAATTTTTAAAATTATCAACAGACATATTTAGAAATGAACATATTTATTTTTAAAAGAATAAATTTATATATATATATATATATATATATATATATATAATAAACTAAAGTTGATAAAAAATTACAGAGTATAATTACATTAAGTCCAATTTTCATGAGAAAATATTATTATTGTAATGAAGTATTTTCAGTGGTAATTATGAGACTTAGAATCACCATTTATTGCTCTGATAATTTGCCTTTACTTTAAAAAATGCATTAAATTTTATTCTTTATTAGAAAAATCTAAAATTTTTAAGTAACAAAATTATTTTAAATGTATTGCAATATCTTGTAAATTTGTCGTTAATATAAGTCATTCTCTTTAATTATTTATTCATAAAATTTTGCATTTGCACGTATACATTTTTATATGTAGGTAGTCCTTAATCATTTTACTTTTACATAAAAAGTTGTAAAATAATTATACTCCTGTATAATGAATTTTATCAATTTAATATAGTATTATTAGATGTTTAAAATAACAATATTTATATTCCACAAAATTTTTCGTCTAAATCTTTTCAGTCAATTGTACTATATAATTTAATTTCAATAGACTATAAAATTAGAAATATTCAATATTCAAATTATTATTTAACACATCTTATCTACATCTCTACTACAATCAAAGACGTATTACATAGGCTTCATTAAAAGAAAAAAACATTAAAAAGGATAATATATATTTACTTATAGATATTGGTATAATAGTATTTGAGAATATACTGTAAAATTTATGATTAAATTTAAATGTAAATTTGGAGAAGTGAAATTTTGTTTATTATATTTATGATTTGAATGACCAAGACATAATATTTTAATTAGATATTTTAAGTATATTTTAATATTTTCAAGAAGTGAAATTGGATGAAATATATAATTTTTGTTTAAAAATAATATTAATTTATAGTAATATATTTTATATTGAAATAATATAAAATAAATGACATTTTAAAAAAATGATTACAGTATTATTTCACTAAAACGTATTTTATTAATCCTTTATTTTATTAGTCATGTGTATTAAAAATATTCTAATTTTTATATATAATATCTTTTACAATATCTGCAGGAGTGTGGAGTCTATGAAAATCAAAAATAGAAAATTCTTATAAGGAACTATTTCAAATTTTATATTTCGATTTGAAATATTTATATCTGGATTTTTTATTTATTATATTTATTATATTTATTTATTTATTATTTATTATGGATTATTTATTATACTTATATTTTTGACGATACAACCATATAGAAATTACAATCCCTTGTAAATATCTAAATATAGTCAAAAGGGGTTGAAATTAAACGAGCATTTCTATAAAATATTGTGTCTTTCAAATGAATATTTTTGGGAGTATTAAAAATTCTATTTAAAGTTACAATAATACTGATATATGAAATATAATTGGCATTCAAAATAATAACTCAGAATTAGAGAACATTTAATATTTATAAACATAATTATAAATTGAAAAAGTAAAATATATCTAACAAAAAATTTATAAACAAATATATTTACGCCATTTTAAGTTATGTTTATGAAGATTAATTATAATAAGTGTATCTTGTGTTGGCTGAAAAAAGTTTTCATATACAATAATTTATTTCTCAAGTATTATTAATTAAAGTCGAAACATTTATTTACATTACACGCAAAAAACATTTATTTAGTTATACTTATAAACATATTTATTAAGTTTTTCCGTAATTTAAAAAAATTTCTTATTGATTTATGAATGTTTTTAATGAAATAAAGAATTTAATAAAATAATACTAAGCATTTCAAAGTTAATTCATCATTATTAAACATTTTTTTATATATTTGTATTCAAAATTATTGCTTTATTGGGTAGTACTAATTTTATTATAGATATTTATATAATTCGATTTTTTCAGTAAATAATAATAACAATTAGTTAACAACAAATTTGGTAAAAATATTGATTTAATTTAATGATTATCTTGAGTTAAATAGTATTAAGGAGATGTATTAAACAGACTATAAATTTCACAGAAAAAGAACTCAAATTATATGAAACGTGTTATAATCGAATTTGTAATAAATTTAACTGTGGATTTAATCAAATCGTTGGTTTTAACAAAAATTAATGTAATTATTAAACGTCATATAAATTTTATTAAATGAAATTTTAGTTAATATTTATATAATGTGATATTTGAAATGAGAATTAAAAATTTACGAATATACAGTAGCTATTCAATGATATAGAAGAATAATTGAATTGTCTTTAAAATTTTAAATATCTATCTCTATATAATTTATATTAAATATCAAAGTCCATAAAAAATGTAGGTGAATAATTTATATTTGAATATTTTTTATCAACAAATTTACATTCCAAATTACTTCAATATTTAGTTTTTTTAAAGGAATTTTTGAAAATTAAAATTATGAACGATACATATGATAGACTTGTATTTCATTTTCAAAGTACTAAAATTTTAAAAGCCATAAACTACATTTGTCCAATCCAGCATATAAGATCTGATCTTAATTATTAAGACGGAATCTTCTTGTAGTGAATAATTATATGAACTGTTTAATGCATCGAGATCCATTGCCATCTATTAGAACAAATAGATTTCTATTTCGATTGTGCATTCGAGTCCTCTCTATCCCTTCTTTAGAGATTCACTATTCCATTCAAGTAAGCTGTCATAAATGAGTAATTTCTAAGGCTTAGTATTATACAAATTTGCTATAATTTTTACTGGCTTCGTGTATTTCATCATTTTATAAAAAATAAATTTGAAATCTGACAAATTTTTATTTGAAAGTCCAATTAAAAAAAAATTAAGTATCTTTAATTTGTTTGTAATGAAAATATTTATGCATAATTATATAATAAATAAAAAATTCTAAGAATATTTAGGTATTTAAGTATTATTATTGGGGAAATATTAAAATAATTCGCGAAAACAATCGACAAACAATGTTTCTGATAGTATTGTTCCTTTGTATTAATTACCAGTCCTATTTCGTCATCTTACATTAAAAAAAAATAACTTAATTGAATACTTATTTATAAATCAATGATTACGTTAATTTTATTAAAAACGTTTTAACTTAATTTACAGGAAAAATCCATTTTAACAGCCAACTTACATTATTTTTCCAAAATTAAAATGTATGTAAGCCAACGCAAGTGACAAAGGTAAAGTATAGACATATTCCCAAACATCTGATAATAATTGTTAAAATTTGAAGCAGTTATTATTATTATTTAATAATATTACAGCGAATACAAAACATGTCAGAATAGTTAATAGAGTTTCAAATGATTTTGACAGAATACAAATGAATTTGGAAACATAAAACGTATTTTATCAAGCAAATGTTCATAGGGAATAAATAATAAGTGGTTTTTGAATAATTTGTAATAACTAAAAAATGTATAGAATTACTTTTTACTGTTAAACATTATTGTGAATATTGTGTATTTCTTCTACTACTTATGTATTATTTTTATAAAGTTAAATCATGTTATTAAACATTTCGGTTGGTAAACATCGTAAAATAATTTTTCTTCTTTCATATTTAAATATCCATTATTTTTCTTCAATTTTTATATTAATAAAATTAATTTTATCACATAAAATACAACAATATTGGCTATTCGTACAGTCTTATATGAGATTATTATTATTATTTTTTTTTTGCTTACAATGTTTTGATTGCATATATTAAAGTTTACTGTACTCACGTTTAATACAATGTTATGATAGATTTACACTAGCATTAATATTGTATAAAATGAAATATTTTTAGGTATTGTCGATTTACATTTATAAATACGTTTTATACACGCATAGCCGAAAATATTTTGTCCAATGCCGCAAATGAAATAAATCCATATAACCACCCATGCAATACCTATTACTTGATAATACACATGCAAAATTCCAATATATTACAATGTCAGTGTAGCCAAACACAGAGTGCAGACGGAATAAACAAACACCCAAAACAGATGCATCTGGCAAATGGATGGAGAGTAGGAGAGAGAGAGAGAGAGAGAGAGAGAGAGAGAGAGAAGGTGTGCGGGATGAAACAAAGCAAGAGTCAGTCACTTACCGTCATTATTGGTCCTGGCGCGAGGAGGCGAGGACGGTTCTGAAGATGACTTGACACTGGGTCGCGAGGTGTTGTCTCGTGGCTGAAACTGCGGACTCTCGAGATTCGGACTTGGACTGAACTCCACACGAAAGTCCGCCCGGTCGAAACCCTCGTCAGACTCGGAAGGTAGATTTTCTTCGTCCGGCTCCATATCGCCTTTCTCGTACTGCTCGCGGAGTACCGAGCGCCAGACTGTAATGGGTCAAGATGAAAATATTATTTTCACGCCATGTGACACGCGGGAGCTTATTTACGTTCTATTTTAAAGATAGTTGAGAATGTATGAAGATGGACTGAGAGGATCGATACGTGCGTATGAAGATTATTTCTATGCGTCGAAGAAAGTGGAATTCCTACTTTGGGTATTCGTATTTTTCGCATTTTATAGGCGGCATTTCAAATTTATTTGTCAGGGGTTAAAGCTTTAGAAATATTAAATCTTGCAAATTGAATTGCGATGTAAAATTTGTCTCAAAACTTGTCGAGCTTATTAAAAATATGCAAATATATGAAATAATAATTGTACACGCTGATAAATAAAAACCTTGGTTGTATAAATAAATGTAGACTCATTATGATAGATAAACTTATTCATCTAATAGTTTTATAGATTTAACGATCAAAATTCTGTTTTGTGTATTTCTATCACATTATATTGCGATGTTTCATTTCACATTTCATCGCAATTAGAATATTTTTATGTTCAATGGGCTTACGATATTACTCTCAAATTTCTGTACATGATATTATGCATTAAATTTTTTTTTGTAATTGGAAATTATAATTCACATTTATCATTAATATTTATTATAAAAAAATGCCTCTTTTCAAATAATATTAATTTCACTGCTTAAGTTTTGTCTAAAGAATGTCTTAAATATTAATGAATTTCAATAATTTTTTAAATACAATTTTTAATAAAATATTTAATTAATTGATAGTGTTAGAGCTCTAGAGATTAAATATACTCGATAGATTTTAGAAGTAAATCGAATTAGTTTCACAACCGCGTTTATATACTTTCATGTTACTAAAATGTGAAACACATGTTATCATAATTTTTCTATGGTAATGTTGAGCATATGTAAAGCTTTAGTTATTTAATGAATTCATATAATCCCTTCATGCTTGAAACCTGTTATTTCAGTATCGATTTCGTTACAAATTTTCATTGTAAGTTATAGTATGTGAAAGTTATAAGAACTTTTTATACTTTATCTTAAATACACTTTGAAATAAAAAAACAATCAATATGAATAATTATATATATACATGTCAATGGCCTAAACAATACGTATATGTAGTGATGATGTGAAATGAGTTGGAAAAATAATATTACCAAATAATGCCGTACACTTTGTTTATAACCACTTATTATATTTTTATCTAATAATTTAAACTTATTTTACTGCCGATATTCAAAGGAATTTTGGAAATATCGTATAGAAATCGTATTCTAATGTCATCAACCAATAAATACTCCGACTTTTCCTATTATGAATTTCAATATTCATATTATGAATATTGTTTTCAGCATATAAAGATATTTTTGTCCTTCGTTGATTAATGTTTTCATAACGCTTATCCCTAATTTATTAAATTAATTTAGAATATTTACATAAAAATCTTTCGATAATTAAATATTATTGCTAATATGTTGAAATGTTAAATTGTTAGTATTACTATATTTTTTTATACGGTGATATATTAAATTACAAAATATATATTCAACTATAAACATAATATTTAATACATATCATTAAAAATTCATACATTCACACATAAAAACAACAACATTATTTTAAAATGTTTTTGAAATATTTCAAGTAAAATTTATTTTTAATGTAATATATAACTGATTATTTAAGATTTATTAATTATGGTTTGAACGATAATGAAAAGTCTATACCTATTACATTTTCATTAGTTACTTTCGCTGAAACTTTAACTAAGTAAAGAAGGTTCTTTGTACCAGAAAAATAATGTAAAGTAATTAGGATTTTATTAAATTGACTCTCTAGGAATAACAATAACTTTTATGAAAATTTAGAAGTTTTGACATTAAATATATCATTCTTCATTTTTAAATGCGTTGATTACGTATTTATTGAATTACTGAAAATAAAAAATATATAATATGTAGTTATAACAATTTTTGATAATCTAATCATTATTATAAAGAATAAGATAATAAAACTTTCAAATGATTAAACTCAGAATAATAATATTCATACTTTGCATTATTTTACAAGATAAACATACATAAACTATAATTTTATCTGTAATAATATATAAAATCTAATTATAAAATTACGATTAATATCGGCCTAAATATGTTTTTATAAGTACAAATATATCACGCAATTTTTTCTTTATTAACAAAACAAAAATAATGTAAAGATGAAGATGAAAAATAAAATAAAAGTATTAATACCCGTATGATACTTTTTATCCAATGAAGTTGTGGAGTCTAAAAAGTGATAGTGCTAATTTCGACGCAAGTATGTTCGTTATATATGTAAATTTATCGCCAAAATAACTTAGAATTATGGATAGAGACGAGAGTATCGATTGTAATATCAGAATATATTTTCCGTTCATGTATGATTTTAGCTAAAAATAGAGTTGGTAAACGGAGGCTCATAACATGGAAATATAGAATAATAATTTGAATATAAAATGTTTTCATATCAGTAGTGATAACAGTTGTTCGTTAAATAAAAAATACGATATATAATAGTAATTATAGATTTTCACTCATTTTACTTGGTATAAAGTTTTATTTTGTTGCGTTAAACAAATTTATTTATTATTTTACTTTTTAGTTTTTGCATTAAATATTTCTATATCCTCCAATAGTGTTTAATGATGTGACTGAATTATAAAAAATGATTTTCTTATTATAATTTCGTCGTTATAATAAATTATTTTAAATATAATTATAGTTGAACCAAAATAATGCAATATTTTGCAATTTTTCATCTACAATTTTCATAATTCCGAAATCATTATATTTACTCTATTCGACAATTTCTTATCTATCCAATTCTACCCGATTGTTAAACATTATATAGAAATGATATTGTTTAAACATTTTTTAATACTCTAATATTTGATAAAAACAAAATTATAGTGAAATTAAAAAAAAAAATAAGAAAAAAACCTTTAGATTTGATGTAATGATAAGTTTAAACGTACATTCGCAAATTCATTAGTCACCTAGAATCGCGCGACAAATGAAGAGTTAAACTAAAGGAAAATAATAATTATAAGATAAACGAAAATTAATTTTATATTTATTACTTTTCATGAATAATTTTACAATTTTTCTATTGACACACAATTAATGTAGCGTATGAATTTGTTTTTTAAGAAAAAAAGCACATATATAGATATATGTAAACATGTTTGAATTAGAATTTTGCTATAATTTAGTTAAAACTTGTCTAAAGAAAAACTGAAACTATCAATATTTGTCAAATTTCAATGTTTAAATTTTTTATGTTTTCATTGATAGAGAATCGTTGAAGAGTGTTTCTTAATTTTTTTTATTATTAACGGAATGCATAATAAGACAATATTAAAATTATTCAAACAGTATTTATTGCAATACAATTATTCTTTGCGAAGCAAAAATGAATTTTTAAGTCATTCCTTCGTATATAAAAGTAATATTGACTCACAATGGGCATCCCAAATGCAGTAATACGCGTAATAAATTCGAAGTGGATCACTCATAATCCATAATCGCGACTGCATCAGAAGGATATTAAAATTAATTCATAAGAGGATGATAATAATTTTCTTAAGAATAAATATAAGTCTTAGATTTCAGCGTTAAAAAGCCAAGCCAATCAGTATAGATGTAAGATCATAATACGTATTTGTCAAAGTATTAAAAAAATAAGTAAAACTAACATCACCACAAAGATTTTGAATGCAATATGAACGTTATATGATTATAATTATTTCATATCTCAAGTTGCACGAGCGAATATTCCATATTTCCATACATTGCATAGGCAGCCATAGTAATATATGTATATATGCGTAAGCATTTAAATATAACTAAAAAAATTATATTAAATACTTATAAAATTTTAGTCTATAATCTGAATTATGTATACAAGTTGCGAAAGTAATTAAAAATAAGATCTAACAAATTTCTTGTATTTCAAGTAAATGATATACGTCACATATCATGGAGTTCAAAAACATTTTGTAACTTAAATTGTCTGTTGTAACGACCGCAGTGTTTAAAGCTATTGTAACATAATAATCAATACTTACGAATATTTCCCAACCTTTTTATGAGTTCAGGTATCGAAATATGTATTAAATTATATGTATTAAATTAATCAGCCCAAGTTTGAAAAATTTAAACAATTTTTTTCCTATTATTTAAGAATATCAAAGCTTCAATTATTCCTTTCTTCTCAATATAATAAATTTATAATTTCACTTTAAAATACAACTATATTCAATTAAAATATATTAAAACAATGTTAGGTGGCATATCTTATGTATATAATACGAATAGTTTAATTATAGTATTTGGCTAAGAAAGTGAGAAAATTCAATAGAAAATATATTTGCCAATAATTATCCTATTACCTACCTATCATCGAAAAATTTCTGGAATTAAGATTTTTCACGTTACAAAGTGTTTTTTTAATTACAGATTTTTTTTCAAATTAGTGACAATTAAACTAAACATTTCAATTTACACAATATTTTCGCTTAATACAGTATATTATAATTATTATACACTATATTGAATATTATATTATAATGAATATTTTTAAAAATTATATTAGAATATAGACATTCACAATATTGAATGAGTTTTCAAATCTCTCCATTCTTTTGTAATTAAATTAGATTTTAAAAAATCCTATTCTATTCCATCCAACTTTCATTTAAACATCTGCAGGACGACCCTTACTTAAGATACGAGAATCTTACTTAAGTAGCTTAATTCCAAAATCTACTAATACTTCTGTGCCGACCATAATCAGATGAATAGCTTATGATGCATAATAAACCTTGATACATGATACTTGGAGTCTATGTATCTTGGTATACAATGCCAGAACTTTCAAATGTAATCAATTCAGAAATAATATTACAGCATAGATACGATCTGATATACTGTTGATAGGATTAAGATAATAAATTATAAATGCGTTCCG